GCCGGGAACGGGGCGTGTCCTCCGGGCAGCCCGGGATCGGGGCGGGGCCGCCGCCAGCCGGAAACGCGCGCCGCCGAGCTTCCTGAGCCGCGCGCGTTTCGCTGTCGCTCCGCTGCAGCATGGGGCCCCTGCCGCGGACTCTCGACTTCTTCTACGATGTGCTGTCCCCCTACTCCTGGCTGGCCTTCGAGGTGACGCCGGGGAGCCGCTTCGGCCGAGGCTTGGAGGACGAGGGCTTAGGCAAGGGCGTGCATAGGGCGTAGGGGCAGCGGTCTCGTGAAATTCCTGGCGCTGCCCGACCACACAGTTCAGGACAAGCAGAATAGCCAGGGCTGAAGGTCACTTTGTTAGTAAACAGGATACGGTCGTTGGCTCCACGTCGAGCCTTTATATCCTAGACAGGGGTTTTCCACAGTGGTTTGGAAGAAGAGAAGGAACTCCAAAGAATCCAGGAGAAATCCATGGCACGGCCACCTTCTAGCTCTCCCATGTCAGTTTTGCGGGGGTGGAGTACAGAACACAAAAGAACAGCCCGTAAGGGCAAAGATTCTGGGATCAAATTCTAGGCATGGAGTGAGTTTTGCCATTTAAAACCAATTTAGGGCGTCCTTGTAACCCTTACTCTGCGCCTCTAGCCTCTGGTTGATCATTCCTTTAAAACACTCTTCCCTTTCTTCAGCCCTACTCACCATCTTCGCCTCCACTCCTGCAGGTCCTGTGCCGGTATAAGAATATCTGGAACGTCAGCCTGCAGCTGCGGCCCACCTTAATTGCTGGGATCATGAAAGACAGTGGTATGAAAGCAGCAGCGTTTGGGTCAGAGACTGGAGGGAGGGCTGATCTCAAAGGTCCAGGGGAGGGCCTTCTACTGGGTCTTCATATTTGCAGCAGCAGCTAGTAACATGCCCTCTACTCCAAACCGGAGGAGGGGGTCCCCCAGGCCTGGGATCCTTAGGTCGTCTCTCGCCAGTGACCCCAACTTTTCCACTTGCAGGAAACCAGCCACCAGCTATGCTTCCCCGCAAAGCTACATACTTGAAAAATGACATTAGGCTCCTGGGACAGCATCTCCAGGTTCCCATCCACTTTCCTAAGGATTTTTTCTCAGTGATCCTTGAAAAAGGTGAGGAGAATGGGATATAAAGTGGAGAGCAGTGGATTTGCAGGGCCAGGAAGGAGGGGCTGGGGTGACTGCATTAAGTGAAACAAACCTTGGGGAAACTCAGGCTAAGAGTTGAGCGAGCAGCTTGTGGGGATGTAAGGGGAGGAAGAGCAGGACAAATCAGTTCTCAGAAACTAGAGTGGGAGGCTGAGGGCAGTGGAGCACTGGGGGATGTCAGAAGCAGGAAAGAGCTGATCTGCCATGGGGAAACAAGCTAGAGAAGCCCTGCCTCTGAATGCCTCTGCCCTCCAGGAAGTTTGACAGCTATGCGCTTCCTCACTGCTCTGAAAATGGAACAACCGGAGATGCTGGAGAAAGTGTCCAGGGAGCTTTGGATGCGCGTCTGGTCACGGGTGAGGGCAGGGCCCTGGGAACCCACTTGGAAGGGGACACTGGATGACTTAGTGACCCTCCCCTAAGGCCCAGAGTCCAGGTCCAGCCTTCCCTATTGTTCACTGATCTACTGTCCCCCATCACACCCCTCACCTCACCACCCCCTTGTGCTGAGTGTCCTCTTCTTTCCAGGATGAAGACATCACACAGCCCCAGAGCATCCTGGCTGTGAGTGTCCCCACTCCTCTCATTGGGAATCTGAGAACAGAAATCTGGCCTTTGGGGGCAGAGAGGACATAGTTTTTTTTATTGGCTGGTTCAGGTCAGTTATTTGAAGAGAAAGAATGTTGGAGGGGCCAAGTGCTAAAGGGTTGGGACTAAGGACTCTCAAAAGAATATCTCATGATTGAAAGAGGAAGTGCAAAATTCTCCATGGGTAGAATGTACTTGATGAAAGAAGTCTGCGGGAAAGACAATGAATGTAGGCATCCACAGATGAAGAGAGATGAAGTATTGGCAAGTCTTGGCCGCAAACCTCACCAACACATCCAGAGTAGAAAGCAAGAGCGTTTAAAAACAGACTTTAAAAAGACGAAAAGAGACAACTGACTCAAGCTAGAATTATTCAGAAGCCTGAGTGAGAAAAATGGAAATAGCTCCAAACGTTAAAATGTATGCCAGCCGTGGATGGGGGTATAAAAAGTCAGTTTTCCTTCAGGATTAAATCAGGAAATTCAACACCATATTTTTTTCCCCTTAAGTTTACAAAAGATAGTTGAGGCATAGGCAAATTTCATATATGAAATGACAAGTCAAAAAAAAAAGTTAAATGTACCAAGCATGCCCAATATATCCTGCAGGGTTTTTATTCCTGCACAGTATATGCTTTTTCACCTAATTATTTAACAATCATTTTTCGTGCCATTTAAAACTCCTGGAGAGTATAATTGTGAATGTCTACATAGCATTCCATTCTGTGGGCCTGTTTTTGTTTATTTAGCTGCTCCCCTACTGTTGAATACTTGGTCAGGACACAGTTCTCTCATGCAGCCAAGTCTCAGACAGTGTCACGTCAGAATGCACTCCTTGACTTCACGTTTCCTGTGTTTCTCATTACTGGAGGTCAGGTTGCAGTGGCTGTCAACCTTGGCTGAATATTAAAATCACCTGGAGCACCTAGACACCACCACCCAGAAATTCCGATGTTACTGTTCTAGGAGATGACGTTCGAGCTAGGATTTTCAAAAGCTCCTCCAGGAGACTTTAAGATGTGCAGCCAAATCTGAGAACCACTGATCCCAACAAACCCTAAACTGAAGCCTTTAACATTCTCTTGAAGCTAGGCAGGTGGCTGCAGTTGGGTGCCCTGCTCAGAAGTCCTCGGGAAATTCTACGGGAATTAGAGCCCAGCCCTTGACTCAGGAATTCTGAGAAGTAGGAAAGCAAGAACCCCGGACTTACTGTCAGGGGACTCGGATTCTGGCACTGGCTCTCCTACCAACAAGCTCTTTAACACTGACCGAGATACTGGACTTCAGGCCCCGCATCTGTTAAGGAAGACAGTGGGGAGCTGGTCTCTAAGATGCCCTCTGGCGTTGATTTCTGCAACTATGACTCTTTGCCACCTGCTCTTTCCACCAGTCTCAAGATTTTGAGGGGAAAAAACTTAACATAGTCTCTCTTGGCAAGGATGGACTTCCACTCATGGGTGGGTAAAGGCATTGCCAGAATAACCTGGGTTAGGAAATAAAAGATCAGGGGTTTCTCCTGATCCCTGCCCCGGCTGATGCAGACACAATTGTGTTCCCTACCACATCACATCCCTTCAGGCTGCAGAGAAGGCTGGCATGTCCACCGGACAAGTCCGGAGTCTTCTGGAAAGGATCTCAACACCACAGGTGAAGGACCAACTCAGGGAGACCACTGAGGCAGCCTGCAAATATGGGGTGAGCAACTCCCTGTGTGTCCCCAGCCCCACCTCTGAGACAGAGTGGAATCTCAGCTAGATTCGCCACACTCTTGTCCAGAAGCTGCTCCCAAACAAGAGTCTTCCTGGCTCTCCCGAACCACCCTGAGCCCAGGAAAAGGAAGGGAGGGAGAGAGATGGCGAGAGAAGAGAGAGAATCTGGGAGTTAGAAACGGAAAACTCTCCTTAAAGCCATTGAGCCTTTCCTCAGACACCTCTGGCTGCTTGGTTTCTATGACCTTGGACCAGTATTGACTTGCAGCCATCAACGGCAGCCCCATAAACACCCACTCCATCACCCTCCTCCCTGCCCTGTAACTGCTTTTGCCAGGCCTTTGGGCTACCCGTCACCGTGGCCCACCTGGATGACCAAGCACACATGCTGTTCGGCTCTGATAGGATGGAGTTGCTGGCACACCTGCTGGGTAAGTTATAGGTTCATGTTGAGCTACCCTTGACCCCACCCCACCTGCGTTATATCAGTTACCCAGAAGGATAGATTCAGAATTTTAAAGTGTTCTAGGCACCTCCAACAATGAAGCTGCCTACAGACACAGGTGTGGTCCAGGTAGAATGGGAAGGGGTCACTTTCTCTCATGGGAGAGGAGGAAGCCTTCTATACCTCGAAGCCAGACAGAGCTCTCCTAGAAAACGCCTGGGGGGTTGTGGGGCCAGCCTTTGACATCTGTGATTTTCTCCATCCAGGAGAGAAGTGGATGGGCCCTGTGCCTCCAGCTGTAAATGCCAGACTTTAAGGAAGCTCCGAGGATGCAAAACTCTTGGTATACAAAAGCAGACCATCTGCTTAACCCCCACTGTGGGGCCCTGGGACTCTGATTTCCTAGCAGACAGAGGTTCCCCTATGGCCCTGGGGGATGCATCTTCTGCCTTTAGTCTTGTGGCTGCTCCTCTGTGCCTCACAAGTGCCTTTCCAGAGCCCCAAAATAAACTGCTTTCCACAAAATAAACCTAATGCCATTAGTCATCGTGTTTCTGGGTCTGTGTCTTCCCTGATGTTTGTGTGTTCTTGTTCCTGCAGTCATATCCTGTCCATTCTGGGTGTTTGAGAAGAACAGCTCACTGTGTACTCCCAGACCCCTGCCCACCTTGGGGCAGCTTATGTGGAAGAAGCAGGAAACAGTCCCTCTTTCTCTTCCACAGAAGCTCCCTAAGTCTCTCTGTTGAAGACGGAAGACTAAGCCAGGTGGATTTTGTAACTAACTTGTTGGGCACTTCTGACCAGCCAGAGACAGGGCTGGGGCCAGAAGCCCAGTGGGAGTGAAGGCTGGAGGGAACCAGAGCATGACTGAGTTCACATCCAGATGTTTAAATGGCATCCAGCTGCTCTGATCAGCAGAATCAAGACAAGGCCACTCAGGGAGACTGGCCAGAGTTGCCATGGCCTGAAGAAGTTGCTCATCCGCCCATGGTTCCTTCCCCTCACCCACAAAGCAGATCCCGAGAACACCCCAGCCTCTCTCCCTGGCCTATTATGACCCCTGTCCCCTCCCACACAAACCTATAGCTTTCCCACCCCCACTCCATCCAAAGTCCCTGCTGTATCTGTGCCTGCCGTGCAATCATCAGAATGCTTTGTTTTGCCATAGTATCTGGACTTCCTGGAGAATACTCTTTAGAAGCTGAAACCACCTTTGGACATCTGTTGGGAACCAGGTGTGAAGACTTCAATGATTCAAGGGGCTTAAGAGTAGATACCATCTTCCCTTTGCTGCTTCCCTCTGGCTGTCTCCTGTCATACCCCATTTTCCACTGTGGTCCCCCCATCACTTTCTGTCTTCCTCCTCTCTCCCCTTTTTCATTATTCCAGTGTACCCCAGGATTTCAAATCATCCAGACCAGGCTCACCTGAAGGACATCTCCAAATGAGCACTCCCTCCTCCAAAGGAGATGTGTGACATGCACAGTTGCAGTAAAATAAAAATACAGGGAAACAAGGGCCATTTAAAACAAAATGGGACTTCTCATATATTGAAGTTAAATATATTCAATTATATTGAAGTTTTCATATATGCTGAGAGTACCATAAATAGAGACAAAGTTTTTGAATAAAGATGCTTATCTTAACACTATATCAAATAACATAAATATCTAAAGGAGAATTTTTGACTAAGTTATGGTACATCCTGTATGTAATGTTTCATAGCAATCAAAAATCATATTTGTGAAGAACTTTTAAGAACTTTGGAAATCTTAGGATACAATATTGTTTGAAAAAAATGAAAAGATATAGTATGATCTCAATTATGTCTTGATGTATAAAAATACATTACAGAGGGCATTAATGTATTAATCCTGGAATAAAATATATCAAAATGTTCACTTTTTTGTATAGTTTTTTAAATGATTATTTTGGTAAACAAAACATTTAAGTAAAAAAATTCAAGAATTGTGGATTCACATTTGGGTACATTGGTCTAAATTTCTCATTGTTTACTAAATTTATCAGTTGCTTAACTTAATCCTAAATCTTATCCCAGACTAACGTCGGGTAATCACTTCTAGTAATTGCATATTTCCCAGCCCTGGCCGCTCTTCCTCCAAAGACTCTTGCATCCTATTTTTCTAATCCAATAGCAGAATTTAATCTTCTCTGGAGGCATGAGACAATTTCTAGGCTAATCCTTACACACATGATCTAGACTATAATGTCTGAACTTTTGCCATATAGAACAAAAATGATTGTATTAGGGTTCTGCAAAGAAACAGAATCAATAAGATACTTATAAATATATAGAAAGATCTACTGTGAGATGTTGGCTCACATGATTACGGAGGCTGAGAAGTCCCACCTGCCATCTGCAGACTAGAGGCCCGGAAAGCCGGCGGGATGGTTCCAGTCCGAGTCCAAAGGCCTGAGAACCAGGAGGACCAATGTCTGAAGAAAGGAGAAAACAGCCCTCAGTTCAAGCAGAGCAAATTCTCCCTTCCTCTGCCTTTTTGTTCTAGGCAAACCTTCAATGGTTTGGATGATGAAAACCCACAACGGAGAGAACCACCTCCTTTACTTGGTCTACCGATCCAAATGCTAATCTCTTCTGAAAACGCCCTCACAGAAACACCCAGAAATTATGTTCCATCAGCTCTCTGGGTAACCGTTAGCTCAGTCAAGCTGGCACATACATAAAGTTAACCATCACAGTGAGAAAAAGAAAAGCCCTCAAGTGCAGCTGTATTTTTTTTTAATAAACACTCTTCTAATTTAAACAGTTTGATACTTATTCTTAGTTTCTTCCTCTCCTCCCCTTCTGATCAACAGTTCTAATGTAATACAAAATTTGCAGTCATGTCAATGCTCAGAATTCAATACTGCACCACTTCCTTGTGTTGTGACTCAAATTCCAAGCTTACCAAATGTTATGCTTCCAAAACACAACTTTCTTAGGTAAAATTCTTAGAAGTGATTTTTTTTTACAGAACCAAAATGCAAGTAGTAATTAAGAACAGCAACGCATTGCATGCACGTGGTGAAACAAACAAAACAAAAACAAAACCCAGCAAGGTCTGCAGTGAAGAGTCCTCCCCTTCCCACTCTCCAGTCTTGTGTGTGCTTCCAGAAATGTCCATGTTCTCTCAAACACAAATGTCAGGCATCATAACAGAGATTCCACGTACCCTTCGTCCAGTTTCCCCAATGGTAACATCTTGCATAACTACTACAATAACACAACCAGAAAATTTACACAGATAAAATCAGTCTTACTCAGATTTCACCAATTTTACATGCACTCATTATGTGTCTGTGTTTATTTAGTTCCATATAATTTTACCACCTGTAGACTCATGTGACCATAACCACAGTCTTGATACAGAACGCTTCCAGCATAAGGATCCCTCATGCTGCCCATTTCGTAGCTACAGCTCCCTCCCCACTTCCCTCTCCCCTTCCCTCCCCCTGGCAGACACTGATCTGTTCACATAGTTGTCATTTTCCAAGGGCTGTATGAATGCGATCAGATTGGCTTGTTTTCAAACAACATAACCCTGTGAGGTCCACCCACATTGCTGCATGTCTCTGTAGTTTGTTGTTTTTATTCCTGAGTCTTGTTCCGAGGCATGGATGTGCTGGTTTACTTAACCTCTTGAAGGACATTTCAGTAGTTTCCATTGGGGCTGAAAAAATAGTTCCTGGATCAAATTCCAACGTGTGTGTGTGTGTGTGTGTGTGTGTGTGTGTGTGTGTGTTTGTGTATGGAGGCTTCCTCACACCAAGAAGCAAGTCTCAGATGCCAGCAGGATGTCCAAGAATTCAACTCAATTCTGACACTATCTACCCAGAGACAGTATTGGATTCCACAGGGAAGACCACCCTCCACATCAGAGGCCAGTTGCAAGTCCAGGCTGTGCTTCTGCAGAACGGCTACAAATCAGAGGTTCCCGTGATCCCCTTCTTGGATTTGATTACTTTGCTAGAAGGGCTCACAGAACTCAGGAAAACTTGTTTACTCACTAGGTTACTGATTTATTTTAAGAGGATATTAGAGGATACAAATCAACAGCCAGATGAAGAGATACATGGGGCAAGGTCCTGATCAAACGAGCTTCTGTCCTCCTGGAGCTTGGGGACGGGCAGCACAGCACGTGGCTCTCTGAAAAGGGCCAAGGAGCCCTTCTTTTGGGGTTTTTATGGAGGACTTCATCACACAGTCATGACTGACTAAATCTCTGGCCAATGGCAACTGATTCAACCTCAAGCCCCACTCTCCTCCCCAGAAATCATGGGGTGAGACTGAAAATTCAAGCCCTCTAATCACTTGGCTGGTTCTCCAGCAACCAGGCCCCCCACGTTTAGGTGCTACTAAAAGTTACTTCATTTGCATAACAAAAGACACTTTATCACACTCACCAATTGGGAAATTCCAAGGCTTTGGGAATTGTGAGCCAGGAACCATGGACAAAAACCACATATATATGAGAAATATATTTTGATCATCTGAATATATATATATATATATATATATATATATATATATATATATATATATATCTTATCAATCACTATATCATGGGGACTATTACAAGTAAAGCTGCTATGAATATACATATACAGGTTTTTGTGTGCACATAAATTTTTGTTTCTCTAGGGTAAATACCCAGGAGTACAATTGCTGGGTCATGTAGTAAGTGCATGTTTAGTTTTGTAAAGAAGCTGCTATACTTTTCCAGAATGGCCACACAATTTTACCTTCCCAGCAGCAGTTCATGAGTGATCCAGTTTCTCCACATTCTCACCAATATTCGGTGTTATTACCTTTTCTAAATGGTGTGGAGTGGTATCTCATTGTGATTTTATGTTTCCCGAAGAGCTAATAATGTTGAACATCTATTTGTGTGCTTATTTGCCATCTGTACTTCTTCTTCAGTGAAATATCTGTTCATGTCTTTGCTCATTTTCTAATTGGATTGTTTCAATAAATGTCCATTTTATACTCAGAAAACTATAAGACACTGATGAAGGAAATTGAAGATGAAAAACAAGATGGAAAGATAGCCTGTGTTTGTGGATTGGAAGAATTAATACTGTTTAAATGACCATCCTACCATGGCAATAATCTACAGACTTAAAGCAATCCCTACCAAAATACCAATGGCATTTTTCACAGAACTAGAACAAATAATTCTAAAATGTGTGTAGAAATACAAAAGGCCCTGAATAGCCAAAACAATCTTGAGAACAAATACAGCTGGAGGTATTAAGCTCCCTGACTTCTAACTACACTATGAAGCTACACTAATCAAAACAGTAGGGTACTGGCACAAAAATAGACATATGGATTAATGGAACAGAATAGAGAGCCCAAAAATAAACCCACATTTATATGGGAAATTAATCTATGACAAAGGAGGCAAGACTATACAATGAAGAAAAGGGAGCCTCTTCAGTAAGTTATGCTGGGAAAACTGAACAGCCACATATAAAAAAACTGGACTACTCTCTCACCTCATGCACAAAAATAAATTCAAAATAGACAAAAGACTTAAACGTAAGACCTGAAGCCATAAAACTCCTAGAGGAAAGCATTAAAAAGTAAGCTCCTTGATATCAATCTTAGTATTTTTTGTATCTAGCTCCTCAGGCAAGGGAATGAAAACAAAAATAAATAAGTGAGACTACATCAGACTGAAAAGTTTTGATAGTGAGGGAAACTATCAACAAAATGAAAAGTTTTGATAGTGAGGGAAACTATCAACAAATGGGAGAAGGTAATTGCAAATTATTTTTCCAATAAAGAGTTAATATCCAAAATATACAAAGAACTCATAAAAGTCAACATCAAAAAAAAAAACAACCCTAATTAAAAACTGGGCAGAATATCTGAAGAGACATATTTCCAAAGAAGACATAAAGATTGCCAATAGGCACATGATAAGATGCTCAACATCATTCATCATCAGGGAAATGCAAATCAAAACCACAAGGAGGTATCACCTCACACCTGTCAGAATGGCTATTATCAAAAACAAAAACAAAAACAAAAACCCCAACAAATAACAAGTGTTGATGAGGATGTGGAGAGAGGGAAATCCTCATGCACTGTTGATGGGAATGTAAACTGATGCTGCCACAATGGAAAACAGTATTGGAGGTACCTCAAAAAATTCGAAGTAGAACTACTACATGATCCAGCAATCCCGTTCCTGAATATCTATCAAAAAAAAACCCCACTAATTAAAAAAGATAAAGGCACCCCTTGTTCATTGCAACACTATTTACAACTGCCAAGATATGGAAGCAAACTAAGTGCCCATCAATAGATGAATAGATAAAAAGATGCAGCATATATATACACAATGGAGTATTAG